GAAGACCCCTAGTGCAGATTTGAAAAAGCCAGTAAAGAAACACCCTGCTGTGAAGAAATTACAAGAGGAGGAAGTAAAGATGGAGGGAGGAGAGGAGGGAGGAATGCTGTCAGAAAGTGACTACGACAGTGCCAAAGAAAGGGAAGATAAAAAGCACGAGACCAAGGAATTTAAGAAGAATTTGGAGTTAAAAGATGGTAAGAATGGCTGAGATTTAAGATTTGCTTTGGCCAAATGACGTATTATTCCAAATAACTTTTTGACTGATGTCAACAACATACACGATGTTTAACCTGCTGTTTCTACATTCTTCAGCCAAAAAGCCTGAATAGATTTTTTTGATTTCCTAAAACTTGGCATTTATCAAATGTTTCATCTTTCTTGAAACAAGCATTTTTATGCAATAAAATTAATTTAGTTGCAGTTATGCAATTTGCCCTTTTGCTTGTAAATAAGGAAAAATTCTTTAATGCAAAAAAAAAAAAATGGGAATGTTAAATTTCACCTAGACTGCAAGGAACATATACTATTTGTTCCAACAATTTTAATCTTGAAATCAACAATAAAAATAGAAAACTTTCAATATTACCAGATTTGTTTGATGATGAGGAATCTGAGGGCGGCATGAGTTACGAAGACGATGAAAATGACTCAGACTGGGGTTCTGAAGATGACCCTGAAAGGCTCTGGTGCATCTGTCAAAAACAACACGATAACAGGTGAGAGTGGCTGCATTCTCTTTCTGACCAAGTTAAACTGCTAAAGAATAAGTGATGCATTCATGAAAAATTGAATGACTTCATGAATGAATAAAATCGATGGATAAGTTATTTGTGTTCTCAGTTGCTTTGTATATTTTGTGCAAATTACCTTAGTAATTAAGATAAGAAATGAACATTTGTAGAAGACATATTGACATCAAAGTATTTTAGACTAGTTTTCATATGAGATAAAAAAATACATAATTAGTCTTTTGCAGTTAGATGAACTTGCTCTCTAGCATTCTTTTGTTTACTCGGGAGCAAGCTCATCAGTCAATAAAAGAAGTCAACATCATAGTCATCTAGATAAAAATTTAAAAAGCCTACTAGTAGGGCAGTATAAGTCTAGTAATATATGAATATTAAAATAATGCTGTTCCAGGTTTATGATCTGCTGTGATCGCTGTGAAGACTGGTTTCATGGCAGCTGTGTAGGTATCACCAAGGCCAGAGGCAAGGTGATGGAAGAGAATGAGGAGGAATGGATCTGCCCAGTTTGTAAAGGTGTGTACAGACCAATGCAATGTGTGATGTCACAGCTAAACCAATGAGTTATGTTGGTGTGATTGGGTCTCTCTCTTTCTTCCTCTCTCTCACTCTCTCTCTCTCAGTTTAAGTAAATCAGATCCTGTAACTTTAACTGCAGTGTTCTAATTTAGTGTGTTTATATAACAGTAGTATATTGGCATAATTTTTTGTATTATTTATTTCTGAAGTCTGATAAATTTTAGAAAATGCATTGGCACAGCTGATTTTATGAGGTGTTTTGATTTATCCCCCGTTCTCTCTCTCCATCTCTTCTTCTGGGTGCAAAAAGCTTTCTTCCCACTGAATACTTGTGTATCTCCAAATCTCACCTTTGTTCTTACTATAACTTTTTTGCTTTTTATTCTGTTCTTCACAACAGATAAGGAAAAGAAAGAAGCAAAGGAAAACAAGAAGTCTGACAGGGAAACCAGTCCTGACAAGAAGAAGAGAGATGCAGAGGATAAAAAGAAAAGTACAAAAGAGTCAGATTCTGAATCTGAAAAGGTGAGAAATAGCTGACATTTTCAATCTCAACTTCATGAGATTCCAAAGCTTGTATACATTTCTATTATCTCACCACAATGTCTTATGTCTCTGTAGTGGGCTTTTCATCCTCTCAATGTGTAATGATGAAAAAAAAGAAATTGTTTCTAAGGAGGTAAAGCCCATTTTCTGCCTGTGAGATAAAATGTTTTCTGTGCATGATAAAAAGTAACTTCAAAGTTATTTCCAAAAAAAAAAACAAAAAAACATTTTCCTATTTTCTGCCGTGGTGAGTAATGTCTAATAATCATCAAACTATAAATATAATGTCAACACCTGGACTTGTCCTGAATACTTACCTCTCTCTTATAAACCTGTTGCTGGCAGAAATGTCAATGTGCTTTGCATTATTTTAGGCTAAATCTTCTACATCTAAGAGTGCTAGCAGGGAGTCATCGGTCTCCAGGGATACCTCTGGAGAAGGAAAACCAAAGTTACTAGGGGAGATAAGAAAGAAAGAGAAAAGACCAGATCAAGATGATGGGAAAAAGAAGAGGAAAAGGTTCAAAGTGTTTAAGGTATAGAAATGAAAGTCTTCTGGATTTTTTCTGGATATTTGGGAAGTGATATTAATATGTGTATTGTATTTCTGCCCCTTGGGCCCTGATGTAGAGCTGTGAATTGTTTGTGCCTGTATTTTCAAGATTATATCAAAAGTCCACTTTTATCTCTTAAAGCAGAGCCTAGAAATAATGTTTGATTGCAGTATGATTTACAATTTGATATAATACTGGGGGTGTTCCACAACTCCCTATTGCTTTTATTGAAACCCTTGCAAATACAGACAACAACCTTATCCATTCTTTTAGTCTGCTATTACATACAAGGTAAAGGTAATTATTTTTAAGGAAGTGTGTAAACACAAGTATCAGCAACTTAGATCCTTCTGATACATGTTAATTAAAATTTCACACAAAAGACAAATTACAATTGGTGCAATTCCCACTTCTCAGATAAATACATTACCAATCTCCACTTCCAGAAGAGCCCCGCCAAGGACAAAGACAAGCCCCCAAGACAGCACTGTATTAGCACAGGGTGTGAGGAGTGGGCTAGAGAGGGTTCTGTCTACTGTAAGCCAGGGTGCATTGTCAAACACGCCAAGGAGTCTCTGCAGCTGCTGGAGAAGGAGAAGGCCAAGATGGCTGGGTTTAAGTCGAAGGCAGAGGTAAGATCTTTATTAATTTTTATTATAAGAAGCTTCTGTTAGATGCCAGAGATGCCAAGTCTGAGTTGGAGAAACTATTTGGGCCTTGACACATGATACAAAGAAAAAGAATGGTGCACTTAAATGATTTAAAATCCTTTCAAGGAACACCAAGGTTCAGCAGATTATAGCACTCTGTATAATAGGGTGGGAAAAAAACCTAAAAATGTTACGTTTTATTTTGTTTTTGAACATCTTTTGGCTTTATAATTCAGTGATTATAAATGTGATCATTTGTCAACACCTGAAAACTGGATGATTACATTTAAAAATTAAAAAAATAAATTAAGAGACAACTCAGAACTCCAACATTTATTTATTTATTTATGTTATTCATTTGAATAATTTTATTTATATTATTATTTATTTCTGTCATTCACAGAAGGGTAAACAGGCAGATAAAGTTGTCGTCTTGGAGAGGCACTCAGGTCGTCTTGTTACAGGACCCACAGCGCCAACTACAGAAAACCTAGAGAAATGGCTGCAGAGACATCCCACATTTGAAGTACTGCGTCCTGGACAACAGGCTGGACACATGCACTCTGTGAATAGATTCTACAGCCAGAGTAAGTGGAAGTGATAGAATGCTTGATTTGGGTGGTGGAAGATATGTATATGTGAATGAAAAAACTAAAGAACAAACATACAGTAATAAACAAAAAAAAGTCACAGTTCTTGTGGTTATCCTGTTAGGATTTCTAGTTCTTTTTGAATGATTGCCATATTGATTTAAGTATAAATTTATTAATTGTTTCAAAAAGTTTTTGTGCACTACTGTTTGATACATACAAGCTTACTTTCCAAATTGTGATAAAAGTAGTACCTTTTACTTCTAAAAGAAAAAAAAAATACTTCTGAAATAATCATTAGATTTATATTGTTATTATTTCATTAAAAAGAAAATTAACCTGTTTTTATTTATGTAGAAAAAGAACGTGACAAGGAAAGAGAAAAGCGTGAACAAGAACGAAAGGACAGAGAAAAGGAGAGGAACCAGAAGGAGCGGCAGCGTGAAAGAAAAGAATCTCACAAAGATTCCGCACAGCCCAAACAGGAGCCCACGTCCACTACGTCCACCACGGCCACGGTTGACCCCATGCCAATAAGAATGAATGTCAGAAAAGCCCTCAAGGATACACTGAGCAAGAGGTTGGTATAGGCATATTTGTAACCAGATCAATACATATTAAAATTTAGGGTGCATTCTCAGACCTTGATAAAAAAAGATAGTTACTGAAAGGTATAAAGTAAACAGGAACAATAAGAATGAAAGGATACTCTGAGCAAGAGGTTGGTATGGATGGACATGATTCTTGTATCCAGACCAACGCAGATGAAAAACTAGAGTGCATTTCTGGATCTCAGAAAATAGAAAGATAATTACTAAAAGGGACAAAGTAATCAGAAACAATAATTCTTCAAAAGACTGTAATTTAACTAAATTAGTTGAGAAAATATATTTAAATCACTTTATTTTATATGAAGTATATTTGTACTCTCAGGTGCTTGATACATTTCTTTAGTGTACATGAACAAACAAGGGGGGTGGGGATGGTGAGGAGGGGGTTTGTTTTCACTATTCAGGACATTACAGCATAGGTTATGTCAGGTGTCACATGACACCTGTGTCAGGTAAGCCCTCAGGTACAACATATGATCAGCCAATGCCATCATGAAAATAATGCAACATCATCATAGTCATACTAAACCCACTCATTAGCTCTACCTGGGCTACTAAAAATTGTTTATTCAGTTTCCATGCAATGTTCCTCAGTTGTTATCCATGTTCCAGGGCCCATGACTCAGATGACATGGTGATGACCAATCACGAGATCAAGAAGTTGACCCTCACCATAGAAACGGAGTTGTTTAGATTGTATGGGGATGTCAGTAGTAAATACAAGGCCAAGTTCAGGAGCCTCCTTTTCAACATCAAGGACCCAAAGAATGAGGTAATAAAGATCTTGATTATTGGGTACTAATAACCATTTCTTAAACTAAATCTCATTTGACAGAGGAATTTAATGTTTTGTCATTTATTTTGAAAAAAAATTCTATTTTTTAAGGTAACTGTTATGGAAATATCATGGAGTAATCTTAAACTGTTTGTTCTGAAACATAATGATTGCATTCTACAAAATGTATAATTATTCTTTCCAGGGATTTTTCCGGAAGATTTTAACCAATCACATTAAGCCTTACAAACTTGTTAGGATGTCTCCTGAAGAAATGGCCAGTAAAGAGTTAGCAACATGGAGAGAAAGAGAAAATAAACACGTAAGAAAATTGATTATCAAATTTATTGAGTTATATCATCTTTATTTTCAGTTTGAAAAACGTAATAAGTTTTGTTCCATTAATTTGCATTATTTATGATACATGTGCATTTTTGACATGAACAATGATGACCTGAAAATATTTTTGAAAATTTTTATTCGCTGTGTATTTTAAAATCGCCTAATAATTTACGGATTTTGAAAAATGCCTCAGTCTTTTACAAAAGTATTATATTATAAGTTAATTTTCATTTCTTGCATTCATAGATCTTGTATTTTTTGAAGCCAAAATACTTTAACAAATGTAAGAGTTAATAGTCAAAACTCTTTTCTTGAATAA